GAAAAGCGGCACTTTACCGCAAATAAGAGCGATGCTCTCGCACATCTTTTTTCAGTAACCACAAACAATGCACAGTAACAGCTCTTTACAGGGTCATATAAAAATTGTGGCGTTACTGACAGGCCTTTAAGATTCCGCGCAAACGATTAAAAATAAAAGAAGCAATGATAACTAAAGGAAGCAGATTCTTAGGTATGAAGGTGGCACATGTATGTGTATGTGTGTTTGTGTTTGCATGTGTGTGTGTGTGTGTGTGTGTTATGCATCGTATGTATGTGTGTGTGTGTTTTTGCATGTACGTGTGCATATATGGGTATGTGTGTGCTACAACAAATATTATGTTATAGCAATTCTGTATTGATATTCTATTCATTCACCGTGACGAATATCCAGGATGGGAGTTATGAAATAACATCATTATGAACTCCCTAAGAAGGTGAGCAGCAGCTAGGAACTCCCAACTCGCTTGATCACATGTACTGCTCAGTATCTAAAGCTTCTGATAAGTTTTCAAAAGCATAACAGGAACGAAAACATACATTTTTTGGAATAGGGAGAAGTGAAACTGAAAAAAGTTTTCAATTCAGTTTCAAACCTCATTTATGTGTTGTGGTGTTGTAATCCTTGGAACCAAGAAACTTATTACGAGAATTAGGTGGTAGTGGATTTTTGGGTTGTAGGGAACCCTCGTTTTCGATTCAGAGAGTTACTGAGGGATGAAGAATAATAATTTTCTGTGGAAAATTTGTTTAGGAAATTCGGAAGGAAGAAAATATGACATTTCAGAATTCAAAATGATTGTTTCTTGACAGAGCAGAGTGTGGTTGAAGACAACTGATATCGAAAGAGACGTAAAATACAGCGAGACGTAGATACAGGTCAACTGCATTGAAAAAGACTACATAAAAGGAATCATAATTGAAGTTTATAATTTCGGAACTTAAAATTTCAATAGATATTTAATGGTCGCTAAAGGAGGGAGGTGTTTCAAGAACTATGGTTTTAGTACTGGATGAAATTAACAGATGTCCATCGATCATTTCAGGCGTTGGCAGGCGCAACAGGAGATGGAGCTTCTTTGTTGGTAAGTGCCGTGTGTTCCGTGAGTTCAATATGATCGATTTTTGAAATGATCTAAAAATAGACAATCTCTGCCACCTTTAAAATAATTCAAAATCCACTGTATGTTTTCCATAAACGCGACACCTATAACACTTTCAAGTCGAAACGAAACGCGTCCAGTTTTACAGTTTCCTGTTTTTGCATAAAGTGTTGGCGATCCATTTTTAAGCGATTGGGCATGTTACAGAATATGGCTAGAATTACATACCCTGGTAGTAAAATCATAGTCCTCTGGAGGTTCGATGAATTCGCCATCCGA